AGTTTAGCTTCGAGATATGTTAGATCATAATAAAATATTAATATAATAATGTACAGAAATAAAAGAAGATAGGAAGAGGAAGAGTGAGCGAGAGAGAGAGAGAGAGAGAGAGAGAGAGAGAAAAGAATGAAACGGAAGCTTAAAGCAAAAGCGAGAAAAGATGAATTTTATACGGCTGTCTAGTAAAGGGATGATGGATCGAAGAAAAATCACATTGGTTTCTCGTTTCTAACGTAAAACGTCTATGAAAAAGGAAAAGCCTTACAACTTCTTTTTTTCCTGCTGTTCTTGCACCAAGATAACCATTATCTCGAAAGTACGAAGGAAGGTTCCTTTGGTTGTTCGAGAGAAAAAAAGAAAAGAGAGGAGAAAAAGAAGAAAAGAAAGTGAGAGAGAGAGAAAGAGAGAGAGAGAGAGAGGGAGGGAGAGAGAGAGAGAGAGAAGGAAGTGAAAGAAAGAAGAGGAGAGGGAGTGAAAGCTATCACCTCCTCTTTCATTTTCTTCCCAACAAAAATCGACTCTAGGGATGAACCGTTCGTATTGAAGAAGTCGGACGTAGAATGTGTCCCGATTCCGTTTTGCCATCGTAAAATTTTATATCCCACGATGAATTTCATTCGGACGCCCGATGACGTTATCTGTCTGCATTTTTCCTTTTCGTTCGTCGGAACGAGAAAGCTTTGGCACTTTTCATCGATTACTGATATTATCTTTCCTTTTCTTCTTCTTTTTATTTCTCTTTCTCTCTTTCTCTCTCTCTGTCTGTCTATCTGTCTGTCTGTCTGTTTGTCTGTCTCTTTTTTTTCTTATCTTCCTCTACTACAGATTAAAAGTTTTTATAAAATATTTTATTAACCATTTAATTGCTTTTCCATTATTAAAATGATATATAATTAAAGGATGGGGGAAATAAAAAAGGGAAGTTCCCTTTTTAAAAGAGGCATTTTTTGATTGACAGGCTCTTTGAAGAACAAAGACGGCGGAAAAGGAAAAGAAAAGAAAAAAGCATCAATGAAGCCGTCCATCGGATAGTTTGAAAACGTCATTAAATCGAGCGACGATGTTCGATAGTATTCAGGCAAAGAGAAAAAGATAGAGGGAGAGAGATAGAGGGAGAGAGAAAGATTTTTTCAACGTGACGGCCATCTCATCATCGACAAATCCGATTTCGATCGTTAACTTGTCTTCTACGTTATGTAAATGCTAATCTATCGGTCGATGACTTCGAACACACCCATCGTATTTGTATATATATATATATATATATATATATATGTGTGTGTGTGTGTGTGTGTATATATACACATATGTACTAGCATGAATACCGAGACTTGTAGAATTTCCCTTTGATTATCTAAACGACGATTTCGATCGGAGTGCAACGAGCAGAACGCTTGTAGCTCGATTTATAGCTTCGTGATTTCTAACTGGACGCCATTGATACGTGAATTAATTAATCCTGATATAACTATATAATTTTCTACGAAATAAGAATATTATGGTCGATCTATTACAAAATAAAAGATAATCCAACATGCTAAAGTTTTCTACGTAGACGTCTCGTAACCATAAAGCGAATCGTCGTCATCTTAACGTGCAATGAACCATAAAAATGTCGGTATATTTTATACGAAGGATTGAGAAAATCGATGGACAGATCGGTGGACGATTACTAGAGAGAAGATAGAAATAAGATGGAGGGAAGTACGGAGGAAGGAGTGTGGACAAAAAAAGGACAAAACTACGATATCTATGATTTGCGATACAACTTGGACGACGAAGTCGTACGTCCGGTTGAAACGGAAGTTCAAGATCACGAAGAGATTCAAGAAGAGACCGTTCATAAATTCCATTCCGATGGCCGTGTAAATCTTCAAGCGAAGCGGAAAAATCGAAGCGCACCAGCTAACCCATCGTATATTATTTTCTCGAATAAAAATATTTCTGTGATTGTAAAGACAAGAGATGAAATGAAAAGAGGAAAAAAAATTAATAAATGAATGAATAAATAATAGAAGAAGAAAAAAAAAATAGACAGGAAACAAGAAAAAAGGAAAAAGAGAAAAATATCAAAATCATAATAATATGATGCATTCATAAGTATGATGCATTCGTTGAGGGTAACATCCATCAATGGATACAAATTGCAATTAAATTGTTAATCTGGTTGCTTTTCTTTCTTTCTCCCTCTCTATCTCTCTCTCTTTTCCTCTTTTGATGTGATCGAAAGTGTAACAAGAGAAAAAGAGAAAGAAAAAGAGAGAGAGAGAGAGAGAGAGAGAGAGAGAAAGAGAGACAGAGTGTTACGCAGCTGCAACGCTCGCAACAGCTTGCCCATAACTTCGACTAGTACAACGACAACGTCTCGACTCGCTTTATATTCAGCGCATGGATTTTAAGCGAAGCTTATGCTAATCGAGAGAGCCGGCTATATGGAAAACAAGAAGGAAACGGAACGAGGAAAAGGTCCCACCACTTCGTTTCTCCACACCCGACACGGGCCGTTTCGCTTTTCTTGCTTTCTTACCCTTTTTCCTCCTTCGAATAAAACGAGAGGAAAAGAAAGAGAGAGAGAGAGAGAGAGAGAGAGGGAGAGAGAAAGAGAATAAAACTAAGAGGGTAAAAGACGCGATGCAAAGTGTTTACGGTTTATCACTAAGCAGGAAAATTCAGCGGGAGGTCCTTGAACGAAAGAGAAACGAGATTTCAGGATAAAAGTGTAAAAAGGTTTAAAACCATCAACTACGAGAAAAAATTGAGAAAGGTAAAATTTTTGAAAAAAAAAAAAAATGTCCCCCTAGATATCTATCAACGAAAATTTCACCGAATCGATAACGTTGCATTAGATACTAAATATTATCGAATCCTACGTTCCATGTTAAATTCTACACACATTCTGAACGTGACTACGAATATGTTCTTCTAATATATATATATATAATATATATATATATATATATATATTATATATATATATATATATATATATATATAATATATGTATGTATAATATTCGATGAACTCTATGTTCGATTATCTACCCTGCACGTTTCGAAACTTCGAATAATAGGAAGTATCTACTATTAAGCTTCAATGAACTCAACGATGTAACTAACCATTGACAACGTGAGTTGACAACGTGAGTTGACAAGGCAGATTCCCTCTTGGTAGACATCAAGCACGATCTCCATCTATCTTCTATGAATTCATCTTCCTTTTATAAACGACGATGTAATATTAAAATAATAATCCGTACGAAAGATGAAATCGACGAAATAATAATAATATTATCATAACGTATACGTATGTATATACAATATATTTATACATATATAGCTAACATCCTTAAATACGATTAAATTAAAATTGTCTTGAATGAAAATTACGAAAGAAAGGGAAAAATAACAATAACAATAACAAAAAAAAAAAGAAAAAGAAAAGGAAAGGAAAGAAAAACAAGAAATGCAACTAAACTGTCCCCTCGACAAATATTTTTCAATCCCCTCTTAGTGATTTTTTTTTTTTCTTATCTCAACAAAATACGAACTTCAACGTTGAGATAAGAAATTCTTGAAGGAAACGAGATTTATCTTGCCAGATGATTACCAAAGCAAGACATACGGAAATTGTTTTCCGAGCTCGAAATCCAACTCGACGATTCCTCATAAATCTCTTGGGAGATATTAGATAGTCCTTAGTAGTACATACATACGTGAATACATAACATATAGGAAAATGTCAAATCGCTTCTTCAAAATGGATGCAATTTTCTAAATATACGTCCAAATTATATCCATCGCTTTAATGTAACTTCGTATATAACTACTATAAGCCCATTCTCTCTTTCTCTCTCTCTCTCTCTCTCTTTTCTCTCTCTTTTCTCTCTCTTTTCTCTCTCTCTCTCTCTCTCTCTCTCTCTCTCACACACTCCCTAGACTCGACAACTTGACTTCGTCGAGGCAGCGTGCCAGGAACTCGTAATTGTTTTGAATTAACGATACTTTAAGCTTCGCCCAACTCGGAGCCATTACGTGACCCACCTCTAATGCTTATCGAACTTATCATTTCTATCATATCGAATTTCTCATTGACTTCTTCCCTTTTTTCTTTTTTTATTTTTCTATAAAAAAAAAAAAAAAAAATTAATACATATATGAATAAGTACGATATATATGAGTATTATGGATTTTTAATGAATACGATCCTTCAATCTTTAAACAACGAACGTATTAAAACAAGTTCAATTATTTTTTCGAGCTTTTATCAAGCTCATAAAAGCGACATTTACAATTTACAACTTTAATCATCCAAACATCGTCTCGAGAAATATTAAGCTCGTACATTTTTGTTTACTCCAAATGTGAAAAGCGGACAGTTGTTAAAAAAAAAAAAAAAAAAAATAAAATAAAATAAAATAAAATAAAATACAGGAGTAAACAACAAAAGAAAGAAAAAAAAAATAACGTAGAGAAAGAAAGAACCACTAGGCTGTTCTTTATGAAAATTACACCAAAGATAACCATTGTCCTTCTCTCGTTCTCTCTCTCTCTCACTCATTCTTTTCCTTCAACACCCACAATGAAAATAGTAATTTGGTCTCTCGGAAAAATTACGCGAGCACGCGTAAATTTTTATTCGTGAAATTACTTGCGGATACCGTAAAATCTTTTCTACCCTCCGCCATCCTACTCCCGCCACGTACGTATATATGCGTATGCGCGTTTGGAAATTTGAAAAAGAATTTATTATAAAATCACGAAAAAATTATGAAATAAAAAGTTCGATCGAACTCGATCGCTTGATATTTTTTTTCCATTTATATTAAATACGTCTTGAATTATGGTAAGAATTTTTTATAGATCTTTTTTCATTTCCATTTTTCTCTCTTTTTTTTTTTTTTTTTTTTTACATCTATTACTATGAAAAAGATAATATATGTGATATGCATGATAATAATACTGTAATCATTGACCGATCAAACTAACTATTGATTAACAAACCTTATCGAGATCTATTTCCTCTTGAGAATTGAGATCGGGACAGTTGAAATTTGTAAAGTCCGTCGTCTGGATCGCATTGTCGGCCCTGGTGAAAGCGATCAGAGCGACCAGCACTAGGAAGTACCACTTCATTGTTCACGTGTGGTTAAAACGTCAGCGTTCACACAACGTTGTCCTGAACTTTCTGAAAGCTAAGGGCTTGTTCCGTTCCAGCGTGTAACACAATTCGTTGAAGGTTTATATTCTTCTTCGGCTATCGTATAACGCTCAATGAGCGTTTAATTCCTTAAACTATTCTTCTTCTTTTTGATGATTGTTGAACGAAGATAAAGAAAAATATAAAGACTGGGAGAAAAAGAAAGAGAGAGAGAGAGAGAGAGAGAGAGAGAGAAGGAAGGGAGAGAAGGAGAAAGAGAAATAGAAAGAGAGAAGAAAAGAGATAGAGAAATAGAGAAAGAGAGAGAGAGAGAGAGAGAGAGAGAGAGAGAGAGAGAGAAAGAGAGATATGTGTGTGTGTGTTTATCAAAGATGCATCCTAACGAGAAATTCTCTCGTATATAAGCACAATATCTTAGGACTCTTTGCTTCTATTTAATATATCAGCACGTATAGATCAGCGTACACGGCGATAATCTCGTCACGATCAGTCGTCGATCATCTGTAAATCACGACTCGATCTTTTTACTTCTTTCTTACTTTTATTTCTTTCCTCTTCGGGGCCAATAATCGGGGATATCTTTAAAACCGATTATGACACTCTTGAAACTTCACCAACAGCACCATTTGCTACGAGCGATGGATAATTTTGGAAAAAGAATAAAAAAAAAAAAAGAAACAAAGAAAAGAAAAGAAAAAATAAAAAAGAAGAGAACAAAAAAAAAAAAGACAGAGAAAACAAAAGAGAGACAACGGATCCTTTTTTAATGAGAGAAACGAAATCGATCTATCATCAAACGCATTCCTCGATCCACTCGAACAAACCTTGACGATTAAACAAAATGAACGATCGAAGATTAATTTTCTTTTATTTCTTTCTTCCCCTTTTTTTGTTTCTTCTTCCTCTTCGTCGTCGTCGTTGTCGTCGTCGTAGTCGTCGTCGTCGTCGTCGTCGTCGTCGTCGTCGTAATCGTTGTCGTTGTAATGTATCTCGATCCCTCACCGAAAGAGTGCGCGAACTTTCGAAAGTTCGAAAGCTGCTCTCTCAGTGCATTCTCTCTCTCTCTCTCTCTTTCTCTCTTTCTTTCTCTCTTTCTCTCTTTCTCTCTCTCTCTCTCTACCTCTCTTTCTCTCTTTCTCTCTCTCTCTACCTCTCGTTCACGTTCTCGCTGTCTCCTCTTCGTCGTTGTCGACGCGCGCGCTCTCACGATATCGACTCGATATCGCTGCTCTTGTTAGAGGAGGGATGCGTGCGCGGCCAAGTCGTAGGGCACTCTGACGATCCCGGTCGAGCTTCTGCTGGTCCTCCGTTCGTCTCCTCCTCCTCCTCCTCCATCTCTTCCTCCTCCTCCTCCTCTTCCTCCATCTCCTCCTCTTCCACCTCTTCCACCTACTCCACCACCTCCATCTCCTCTTCCTCTTCCACCTACGTCTCTTCACTTCATGCGTGCGCTCGAGTATGTATATATGTGAGAAAGAGAGAGAGAGAGAGAGAGAGAGAGAGAGAAGCTTTGACGTGGAAATAGCAATTTCGCTTTTCGATAAATCGAACTACATGTTTAGATTCGAAGGACATTGCCCAAGGATATGTCTTCCTTGATATCTTTCTATGTTGGTCAATACAGTGACCAGGAAGATATTTTGGACTTTTTCGTGTAAAGATTTGTAATACATATGTATGTTGGGATATGTTTTATCGTTTGATAATTTATCATGTAAGTACAGACATACATCACATACATATGTGTTTGTGTTGAGATATTGAAAAGAAATGAATTCGACCATTAAGTTCAACGTGTATTACGTAGTAATTGTTTTTTTTTTCCGTTTCTTTTTTTTTTTTTTTTTTTTCTTTTTCTATCTTTCCTCTCCCTTCCACTCTATTCTCTTTGGACATTTAATTTTTGGATCTGCGCTTCGGCGTATGTACTTTAGAAACGTTCGTCGTGTACTAGCTATGTTCTCCCTAAGTGCTTTCTCGCATACTCGCTAATTTAACCGGCTCGCGAACATTTGTCTTGTTCTACATCGAGAGAGAGAGAGAGAGAGAGAGAGGGAGAGGGAGAGAGAGAGAGAAAGAGAGAGAGAAAAAAAAAGAGCGAGAGAAAGGGAAATATGGAAAGAAAGATTTTTATCCTTCATTTGTTTCTTCTTAAAATTTCGTATAATTTTATTCTCTTACGTATAACGTAACAATGTCCATAGACCTACTCATATTAATCATAACGATAAACGAGTTCGTGCTTCCGTTTAACCTTGCAATTGTTGTCCCAGCCAATAATCGCGGTCACCTCACGACCTTCCATCAAGCCAGTCGATGTAGTACGAGAAGTAGTACGATGTAGAGAATTAGTACGATAGAACGGAGATAAAACAGGATGGTAAATATACATGTTACAAGATAGACGTGAAGTTTAAAGAAATAAAATAGATAGATGGACAGATAGATAGATGGAGAAAGAGAAAAAGAAAGAAAGAAAGAAAGAAAGAGAGTGATATCATGAGTGAGAAAAAAAGGGAGAGATAGAAGAGGGGGAGAGAGAGAGAGAGAGAGAGAGAAGGAGAAAAAGAAACAGTAATATCACTAGTGAGAAAGAAAGAGGAAAGAAAGAAAGAGTCCCTCTGGGTACCACACATCGTCGCAATGAAAACTTAATTCGTTCATTCAATCTGCTCGACAGCACAACCTGCTGCCAGTGAAGCTGCTAAAAGCTGACAGAAACGTACGCGAGACTGCTGACTATGTATATATATATATATACATATGTACATACATACATCCATCCATGCATGCATGCATGCATGCATACATACATGTGTATATATATATATTTATTTACAGTGTACACGTCAAAAAAAAAACTCATTGAATTATTCTTGTAATCGAACCTGTTACATATACTAACTTATTGATCATTCTAATTCGTTTATTGTTTAAACTTGAATGCCTTTACGTTATCGGATTATATAAACAGTATGAAAGAAGTTATATAATTATTATTTCGACTAAAAAGTCTAATCTACGTTGAAGTTGATCTTTTTAATTAACATAAAAGGTTCATTATAATGTTTCTTCTCGTTACGACATCCCAGAAACTAAGATTAACAAAATGCATCTGTAAAGCTCTTGCACTTGACACGTTGAATACTTAATATCCGTTCCATGAGTGGAGTAATAGATTTCTCAAAGTATTCAATTAATCATGAATATTTTAAATCAATTATTACTTTTTCTTTATTTCCTTTGCCAACGCATACGATAAAAGAGTTTTTTATCTTTTATTTTTAAAAAAGCTTTAATACGAGCTAAAAAAGTTACGATATTTCATTTTCTTTTTTTTTTTTTTATTTCTTTCTTTTTTTGCTTCTTTTTTTTTCTTATTTTATCATAATAACAATTTCACGACGGATAATCTTCATTTCTTCTTTTTTTTTTTCTTCTTTTCCTTTTTCCTTTTTCAAATATAAATTTAAACCGATTTGAAAGTAAAGTTCTTCAATCGTGTAATAAAATATAGACCACTTGAAGTCCATGCGATAAAAGTTTCAAATAATTTTCCGTTAATCTTCATCAGACTTTCGTTATCGACGTTCATACGTTCTTTCTACGTAAGAAGGATGACATTGATGTTGGATATCGATAGAAGCGAGAACTCGACGATTTCAATGGTTCGCATCGTCTTCCTTGAAAGATCGATCGTCGTTCTATACTAACTTAAAGTTTGCTTTAACTTCAGGTTAGAAAACTTTATGAATGCGTTCCTTGATTATACGATATGATCTCGAATCGGAATCCAGGAACCTTATTAAATATCATTTTTGAATGCTCTTATCACACACACACACACACACACACACACACACATACATACATACATACATACACATACAGAAAATTGTGCTTTTCTTCGACTCTACTACAAAAAAAAAAAAAGAAAGAAAAAAAAAAAAGAAAAAAAAGTTAAAGAATTTCTACGATCCTACTACAATTTTCGTTTCTAGTACTAAGAATCTCGTATTCGAACGAATTTCTTTACGCGAATATTTTGAAAAACTTCGTCTCCATTTTTCTCATTTTCTCTTTCTTTTTCTTTATTTCCATTATCATTCATTTCTTTTCGTTATTTCGATTATTTGCCAATAATAAATATGGACTCTTGCTGTTGAGTCATTTTTATCAAAGAGATTAATTAGACACGATGAGGAAAAAGAGATAGTATATGTGTCCTGTTTCCAGGGAAACACTCGCGACACGAGTATTTCTCTCTTATGGTTGATCATGTGAAAACATTATTCTTTAATAAAATCCTCTTAATGAATCGCAGACCCACGACTTCTGTTTAATAAAGATTTTTAACTAATTGTGTATCATGGATGGACGAAGAGGGAAAAATTTTGGCACAAAAATTGAGCTAACGATATTACTTATATAATAAATGGGTATCGAGTTAGAAATGAAAAATAGAAAACTTTGTTCTAGTCGTAGTACTAATTATTAATTCGGATCTAATAATAATTAATCATACTGTAGGGAATTATTTTTCACTCATTCTTACTAACCCCATTCTCACACACCTTTCTTCTTCTCTCTCTCTCTTTCTTTCCACCACCTCCCCTCATATTCCTTCCTTTTTCATCTCTTTTCCACAATCGAGAAAGCTCGTTATCCTTACTCTCAACTTTTTCTATTAACCAATAACTCTTTCTCGCTTTATACTAATTTACTAAAAAGCGAGTGGTACATTTATTCTCTTCGAAAAAGTGAATGAAACGAATTACTTGCGATGCAAGACAGAAGGTCACCAAAGAAATACACAAAGAAACTGAAAAGGAAAAGAAAAAAGAAATGAAAAGAAAGAAAGAAAGAATAAATGAAAGAAAGAAAGAAAGAAAGAAAGAAAGAAAGAGGGAGAATGAAATAAAAATCTTTTTCTACCCGTAATATTTTTGCAAACGCATTTGCTTGGCGTAGAATATAAGAGATTGAATTGCTCACGTAACATGATTAAATCGAGCAGGAACAAGTGCTATATGTAGTTTTCCAGGATTGTCGGATAAATTTGCATACACGAGCCATTTCTGCATTCGCTAATTGTACCCGATGATCAACGATGGCTCTTTCAGCAGAATAATGGAAGTCAAACAGTTTGATCCTGTCTCTATAATTCATGTTACCTGAAGTGCTTCTAACTCGCGTGAATACAAAGTGGGAAGAATGATTTGCCTCCTTTTTTTATTTTCTTCCTTCTCTTTTTTTGTTTTTTCTATTTCTTTATTTCTTCTTCATTACTCCTACATATACGTATGTTCGAATTAAATTTTTTAACGTTCAAAATTTCGCTGAATAAAAATATAATAATAACAATAATGAAAATCTTTCTTTTATATTCATTCATATACACCGATTATAACGAGTAATAATTTTGATTGGAATTACATTTGAAATGACATCGAACGAAATGGTTTATCAATATGATTTCGATTTTGTTAGAGAAACCCATGAAAATACATATATGTTAAATATAGGGAATATTCATGATAGAATATCTACCTGACTAACTATATCTAACGATAGACGCATGAACAATCACTGGAGAATAGTTCGAGAGAGAGAGAGAGACAGAGAGGATTTTATGGATCCGTTGATTTTACCAGGATTCTCAACGGACCGGCAGAGATCGATCGTACCGTGAAAATCGGATATATGAGCTTTGGTTCCGGCCAAGCTTTGTCCCGAGTGAACGAGAAAGCTTATTACGTCAACGTGAGAATATGGAAATACTCCGTAAACGACACCATGTTTATTTTCTAAGGTAGGTAAAAAAGAAAAGTGAATTTTAACTTTATGTACACTTATGATTCCGTATGAACGAAGAAACGAACAACGTTATACTATGTGTTATCTCATGAGAATGCTACTCCACGAGTGAATATATACAATATGCGATTCACGTGAAAATTCTTCTTCAAACTATGTCTACGATATGCTTGCTCACGTTGTATATATACCCTTCCCTTCCTTTTCCCTTCCCCCTACCAATCAGTATTGACAAAACCGACGACGTTCCAAGCTTGCGATAAGAATTTCGAAAGGATAGAGTAAACTAGTCAACTTTACGATATTTTTACGATTAAATTTACGTACGTATATACATATAAACATCTCAAGTTATACCATAAAATATATATTATCCGGATATATGATACATATTTAAACGTATATTTATATTCATGTACTATCTTTCCGTGGATATGGAAAATATTAAAGATTTTCTACGAATA